ATAAGAAAATCTTATGTATACAATATTCCGGTGGCCAAACAAATAATATGCAATGCAATAACCGAGACGTTTGAACTGGAGAACTCTTTAGGTACCGTTTGTAAGTATGCAACACTGATATAACACGGAAGAAACATTGATGAGACATAAGTATCGGTGGTAGGGCCATGCAACACTGTTGCACGAATGGGCAAGCCCGTCCGGGTAAGTACCACGACCTCACAGAAGACCGGCGTAAAGTATAAGTGTGGTACTTTTGCGTTTCGTCTGGTGAGTGAGGTAGCCGGGGCCCACTTTATTTAAAGGTAGCAACGTATTTATAACCCTACGGGTGTTACAAATGTCCATGGGCGGCGGTTATCACTTAACATCAGGTGAACAGCCGGCTTCTTGCCATTTGCCACTTTCTCACATAAAAAAGAAGTGTTGAAGAAAAATACTTCACAAGTTACGCTGAAAGGCATAGCTTTACTATTATACTATACAGGGAACTTTGCTATGAAATAGGCAAACGAGAGCAGACGATCATATTACTAAGCATTTCTATCTATGACACTATATAATATATACTAACTAGGATTAATGTGTTTTTGTATAGAAAAGAAACATATATTTGTTTTTTAACAGGCCGGGATTGCGCAGAATATCTCAGCAAAATTTCATCACAACCTGATGAATGGTTTAGAATCGCACGGAAGACCGGCTAGAGGGTTACCTTATTGAGTTTTTAAAATATCGTGTGACAAAATTAAACACAACTTAAATTAGCAAAATATTTTAATGACATTCCCTAAATATCAGTACCTACTTATATTCATATCAAGTTGAAAGTAAATTTTAATTTAATTTTACGTAAAATTTGAGTAAAGAAGTAACAGCAGCAGTAAGGTTAACTGTGGTAACAAGGAATCATTATCTGTGGTAGGGCCAAGTAACAGTCTTCGTAGCAAAAATGGGCAGGTCCATCCGGGTAAGTACCATGACCTCACGGAAGACCGGCGTGAAATGGAATAGTTATTTTCTTAACTTTTATTTTAACGTGGCAACGCATCCGCAACCCTTCGAGTGTTGTATATGTAAATGGGCGGCGGTTATCACTTAACATCAGGTGAACCGCCAGCTCACTTGCCACCTTAAAATAAAAAAGTTAAATTAGCAAAATATTTTAATGACATTCCCTAAATATCAGCCTACTTATATTCATATCAAGTTGAAAGTAAATTTTAATTTAATTTTACGTAAAATTTGAGTAAAGAAGTAACAGCAGCAGTAAGGTTAACTGTGGTAACAAGGAATCATTATCTGTGGTAGGGCCAAGTAACAGTCTTCGTAGCAAAAATGGGCAGGTCCATCCGGGTAAGTACCATGACCTCACGGAAGACCGGCGTGAAATGGAATAGTTATTTTCTTAACTTTTATTTTAACGTGGCAACGCATCCGCAACCCTTCGAGTGTTGTATATGTAAATGGGCGGCGGTTATCACTTAACATCAGGTGAACCGCCAGCTCACTTGCCACCTTATCACATAAAAAAGCACACTACATATGTAACACTGCTAGGCAAAGTATTAAGGCTTAGTCCAACACGCCACCCCACTGCGGATTGGAGGACTTTGTCAGTTTTTTTTTATTTTTTGTTAAAAAACATTGCCCTTACTTTAGGATAACTTTATCCTGTGTTGTAAGGACGGTCAACAAACATAAATTTCACGCGGACAAACACGCAGATGCGAAACAAATATCTGTGGGTCACACAAATAGTTGTCCCGTGTGGGAATCGAACCCGCCACCCACGACCCCCAACGCCGAAGCCAATACCGTGGCCACTGCGCCACGGAGTCACTTTGTCAGTTATGGGAAATATTATTTACAGCCTGTTGCTATACTAAAGGCGTTGGTTCTTTGACCAAAAATATATAAAAACTCGTTTATTACACGCTGCTCCTAACTCTATGCCTATGAGCCATATCCAATTTCTTAGGAGCATGATCATTAGAAACATTTAGAGTATTTAGAGTCGGCTTTTGGCAGTAGTGCCTTAATTGATAGATTAAGGCACTACTGCCTAATAATACTGCATGATATGTGTAAGCGATGTCGCCCTTGTATTATGCATTACAAAATTCGAGTTTGAACTACGACCTCGATTCACAATTCCGACGTGCCACTACCAAAACCTAGGCGAGCAAGAAAATATTAGCAAGATAAATAAAAAATATACTTAAAATAAAATAAATATACGTAATTACTAATGTAAACTTAAAATAACCATAGCCGTAAAGAATCGAACTAAATGCTGTAAATAAAGATTGAATGAATACTTAACTTGCTATGCAGATTTTTGTGTGCGGTTTTATTTACTTTGTAATATGTACTATTAGCTCACTCCTTCAACTGTTAAAATATAAACTCATTTCAATTAAAAAAATTGGACAATAAATTAGGATTAAGTTTATGGACTTTTTTCTTTATTGGAAAACTAGGAGGAAGCAAACTAGCAAGATGCCAAGACGTTTATCTGATGTAAACAAACTGTAAAATTAAATGTAATTATTTTGTGCAGGTACTAGCATTTGAAAGTAAAATAAAACATAACTAGTTACTGTTAAACCGTAAACATGCACAATGCCCATCAAGTTGCAGTATTCTACCAACTTTATGGTGGTCACCTGTAACTTCAAATGAGGGTAAGTGATGCTAAGCCATAGCTTCAGTCATTGCACAGATATGAAGACTCCTTTGTGAAAGCACAGTGTCCTGATAGAAGTCCGCAAGAGAGGAAAAATTATACTTTTGCATTTGTATGGAGAGTGGAGTAACCGAGATTCATGGATTTTATAGATTGGCAATGCAACTCCAAACACTCGGATGTTGTAAATCTACATGGGCGGCAGTAATCACTTAACACTGTTTGAACTACTCTGTATGCATGCCAATTTTCACATAAGTATAAATTCACCATAAAAATGTAACATTATCAATACTTCAAATGTATTGTCCTGTTTATTTTGTATGAGGGTGATATACTTACGGGGACTATTTTGCCAATTTTACAAAGCTACTGGTTGGCTCCACCACAGTAAAGTGAATGAGTTATATTTTTTTTATATGTACATTGGATTAGATTTTACCCTGCGTAACAATTTTTTTGCTTTATAACTGCAATTTAATTGCATTATTTTAAATATGAAGCTACTGGCCACAATAGGAGAGCCTGGGACTAATTCATTATATTCATAATGAATCACTTTTTTAATATTATTTTTTTTCATCTTAATTACAATGCTTCAACCTATTTTAATTAATTTATTAGCATACTTATGCAATTACTTTTTCCTAATCATTTTAATACATATAAAAAAAATTTAAATAAATATTTTCCATACTTGCATTAACAATCAATTTCTAATAAAAAACATCAAATTAAAAAAATTATGAATGTATAATTAAATCAAATTAATTTTAAATATTCAAACCTTAAAGAATGCAATGCTAGTAAATATGATAAATACAGTTCAAAATTGAATTTATTTGTATAAAATATTTAATCTTCACACAAGAATGAAACTTTTTTATATTCCATAATATAAAAAGTAGTAAGTATACAAAAAATACATAAACAGAAAAATCATGCTTATTTCGATTAGCAGTAACGACTATGGTCATATATTAGTTTTTCTGAAACATTAGTTGAATTTAGAGAGCCTTTGCACCAATGGTCAAATTAGACTGTGATGTCATACCAAATATATGATTGACCTTCATATAGATGGGCTATAAATATATACTACTTTGGGATCCATCTATAATTCCAATATATTTGAGATAAGATTATATACTAAAATTATGAAATAAAAATAACACAAAATTACCTCAGACAGTTATGTAGTTTTGTACAAAATAACAGAAATATACATAAGTAATTTTCTAAACTTTTTACTCATGTACTTAAAGTTTTAAGTTAATGCCATAGAACAAGATTATGATCAATTCGAAACATCTCTTGTTTTCATAACGAAACATGGTAATGATTAAGTAATCAAATTGTGTTTTCTCCTTACTTTGATTTTGTAACAGACTAAAGACATTCAACACTAGCTCAAATTTTTTATACCCCAAGACCTGCAAAGAATTTACTTTCACCAATGCTTTTGCTTACTAGCTACTTATTTGAATATTTTTCAGTTCTAACCCACAAATCTTAGTACATAATTATTTCTATAAAACACAATTTAACTGTTTGCTTAGGTAAAAATGATATACTTATTTTGTTTCATATTTTATACACACCCAGACTTTCTTTTACTAGGTATGTCCCTTGTCTTTAATCTGTACATAAATCATTTTGAAATTTCTGACTGAATCCAGTGTTTGATAAAAAAAGAGAAAACAATATATAAATTTAAATGAACAGGTTTACTTATAAGTTAAAATACCGTAAAGGATTATATTAATTTAATAAACTAGATAAAATTTTAATACCAAATAACAATAAAATAGAAACATTCCCAAATAAAATTGGTATGCAAAAAGTCGTTAAAATAGTAAGACTTAAGATAAAATATCAAGTGGAACAAAATGAAGAATTGTTTTAATGAAACATAAAAATATGTTAATATATAAATTAATGCGAAACTTGTATTTTGATTCATAGTACTTACCAGCTTTGTAGGTACTAATGGTAAAAAGTATATTAATAATAAATTTCAACGTATTTAATTAAATACTTTTAAATTTATGATCTATTATTAATTCATGAAATATGATCCCTTTATTGTTACATAAAAATAACAAAATAATTAGTAAGGCAACATGAAATAAGAAAATGCCATGTGGGACACCACATTTTTTGTCATAACACGTTACCATAGCAATTATGTCATGGTTATAAAACAATACCATAATCACAATTTTATATTGTAGGATAGTTTCTAACAGCTGACTTATTCATTACCTATGTTACACAAAAAATAATAATGAATTAAAAAATAAACGCTTACCTGAATATGTGTTGATAGAAGAAACTTAATAACTAGCAAGAATACTACAACAAAAACTTATTTAAGTAGTGTATCGAACCGACAAGTATCAAGAAATAATTGAATGTCCGAACATTACATTATTTGAATTTGAATTGAAGTTGACTGCGCGTGAGATTGAGTACACCCATTGTGTGAATGAAATAGCAACAGATATAAAACGCCTAACAAGATTTGATACTTAACTTATTATAACTACAACAGCATTAAGTTGAAGAAATCACTAACACAATTGTAATTGCTATTTTACTACTTTATTATGTGATTGATAATCTCAAGTATACCACATTATGACTTGTTTTATATTCTTGCATCTGCAATCTCAGTATCAGCCAACAAAAAACTCCATCACTGATTTCACACTCACATTTTATTCATTTTAGTCGTTTCTCTTCATCAATTTCATAATTTACTGTTATGTTCACCTATCATCTTTCTATCGTTTACAATTATTTTTCGCTGTGTATTTTTTTGTGTGAAAAAGAATTCATTGAGGTTTATTTTTCACATATTTGTTACACAACAAGGTATTTTTTTTTCAAATGTCTCATAGAAAAAAGTTGCCCGATGGTTTCACAGAGATCAAAACTACTCAATCCTATCAAAACTGTTATCAGAATTGAGAATGTTGTCAAAAGTTAGCTAGTGCGTAGAGTCGAGCACGTGGTTGTATTCGACGAATGTTGGTCGTCAAAACTTTATAAAAGGCTCTCGCTGTTTTATATATTTGTTGCAATATCTACACTGTCCCGTTAACTCGTTTGATTGCTAGTTTATCCATATATACATAAACATGTCATATCCTAAAGAAGGTAAGATTTTTTTATTTCTTAAAGTATAATTCGACTTAATTAAGATGTTTGTATATAAGCTGTTTCTTTTTACGCTCCGACTCTGATGTTTGTTTGCACTGTGTATGTTGTTTCATTTCACGCTTTATGTGGATGTGCTCCTTATTTTGTTACTACATTCGGCACCGAATTGACAGCTCCTTCGGCATTTCGGCCTTGGAACCAAATTATGGTTTTTGCTAGTATTACTTATCACATATTCGCAAGACTATGTTATAGTGACTCGTAAATCCGCGATAAACCGGAATACTTAGATTCTTGATATTATTTTAATAAACTTATGCTGCGACGCGCAGACTGGTTTGGGTTAAGATGAATAAAATATATCGTTCTGTTTAACTCAATCAAATCACAATTTTTAATATATATATTCAATCATGAAATTATCCAGAAAGCTTTTGCGCTCCCTTTAAAATGTGTAAATTAATTTATAGTGATTATAAAAAATATTATTTCGCATTTATTTTTAATAAGACATTTTATGTAGCTCAGTGCAAGGCCTTGTAAATTTATTTAACTAATGCAAGCTGAGTTTCAATTGCCACCCTCACAAATTAAAAAGTCGGTTACTTGGTTTTTCAATTGCTCGACACAGATCATATCGAGGTAAAACCTTGTCACCTATGTAGGAGTCCTGTGAAGTCTGTTTCAAGTACCATCTAAAATATAAGCGGTCCCCAGTCGAACAAATATCTAATGGCTCTTACTTATTTCTTTTCATCATGTTGCAGTTGGAGGGCTGAAAGTCGGTAGTTTGATAATAGAGGGGAAGACGAAACAAGTTTTCGACCTGCCTGAGCTTCCCGGCCACTGTCTATTACTAAACAAAGACAGAATCACCGCTGGAGATGGCGTCAAAGCGCACGATTTGGAGGGAAAGGCCGCCATCTCTAATCAGACCAATGCCAAAGTTTTTGAAATCCTCAAAGGAGCTGGTAAACATTTTTTTTTTTAATTAAGAAAAAGGCACTTTAATTCTTAAATTCTTTCAGATAGTTCTTTATAACAATATGCATCATTTGCATGTATGCAATTAATCATTATTTAAATGATTATTGGTTAAATAATTAGACAACAAAACGAACCACACGACATTGCAATACTTTATTTGTATTACGTACACCCGTATTATTCCTATTTGTTCATGACCGAAGAAATAACAGCGACTTATCTGTACCGCATATTATTATGAAATACGAGCTTTACGTATGCATTTTAAGGTCACAATATTAAGATACGATGCGAAACTTATATCAACAATCAATGTAATTCACAATATTCGAATAATGATTAGGGTATACTTTTTGTGTTATTGTATTCTTTTGACCTTTAAGTTACGGTCATTTTTAAAACGCCTTAGTAACAAAAGTATTACGGTGGAATATAATAATTCATAATAAATTTTTGTAAGTATTATAAATTACAACTTTCCCGTGTCCGCCATTATAAGTATTTCAAATTTAATTTAAAAAGACGAATGAACACAGAGTCTTTAGAAACGCAAACACCTAGTCACCTACGCCACTACAGTAGGCAACATTGAGCCTAAATGATAAATGTTAGATAACAACAATAAGCTCTGTCGCGTTTCCTTGACCTTAACGAGACAGATCCAGATAAAAAATGCTATCCACCTATCACTGGCTAACCGGACACAAAGATTTCGGTTTCGATAAAAAAAACTCGCCACCCTATCGTGAAAAATTGTGGCCAATTACGGGATGAAATCATGAGGTAAAAATATAATAACACTGAGATTAAGAGGGATGCGATTCCTTTGTTGGAATATTTTATCTTCTTCCCTATTGTCTTCTAATCTTACTCGCGATTGACGCATACAAAAATATCATCATTTCGTTTTTACTTGGTTGCCTGCAGAAAACTTTGACATAGCAAAGAGGTCCGTTTGGTTTTTTTTTAACTGGAGGCAAATGAGCGGCCACCTGTTGGTAAGTATTCACTGCCGACCATGGACTCTCGCAACACTAGAGGCATCACAAATACGTTGCAGGCCTTTGAGGAAGGAATAGGCTCTCTTCTTGAAGGTCTAAATACCGTTCCTCTCGTATCATTTGCCCTTTACCCACGTTACTGTTGCTACCCGTACAGCATTTTTAAAAATTTCACTGTTTTGTCCGTCTTTTGGTGAAAATATAGTTATCATTTGCGTATTATAATGCTTGTATCCTACGATACACATGAAAAAATTTAATGTGACTTACATCCGTTCAAATTTACATCCACATCTTATGAATCGTTGCGGCATAAGAGTGAAAAAATATACTTATTGAAACTTTCGTATGTATTACACTAGAGATGTCGTTACATCTCGTGGCATGTTTGCCAGTGTCGAAGCTTACAATTTTTTTTTCTTATGCGGAAGGCGGCCAACGAGCATACAGCTCACCTGATGGTAAGTGACCATTAGTTGCCGTTGCTTCGCCAAATTTTAAGGGAGTTCCCTAACTCACCAATGTGTGCACCGGATTCATAAAAGAGCATAGGCTGCGTGGCTCAACCTCATTTCCCCGTATTTTCCCCTTCGCACTCTTTCTGACCTACAAATCGCCAGCTTCAGTATTCCCAAATATGCTGTCTACCCTCAGGCATAAAGACCGCATTCGTCCAAATCCTTTCGCCGACCTCGTTCATATCGAAGAAGTGCGAGATGGTGCCCATCGAATGGGTGACCCGTCGCTTAGCAACCGGCTCTTTCCTCAAGAGGAACCCCGGCGTGCCGGAGGGCTACCGTTTCACACCAGTCAAAGTGGAGACCTTCTTCAAAGACGACGCCAACCACGACCCCCAGTGGTCGGACGAGCAGCTGCTCTCCGCCAAGATCGAGGTCAACGGTGTTGTTATCGGTAAACAGGCTGTTAATGTTTTTTACTTTTAAAATAATATTGGCTGGAGAAAACTTTCTTATTCATAAAAAATTGGAATTGTTTTTTTTTTTAATAACTCCCTATTCTATAATTAAATTTTAACTTTTTACATATTTTTTTATGATGAAAATTGGCGATTATTATACATGTATTGTGTGTTTATTATACCAGTGTCAAATTCAAATATCAAATACTTATTGATTGTCAAAAAACACTACTACCGGAAACGTTTCGGAAGACAAGACACCTGATAAGAACCACGTGTTAAACCACCTTTTTGCATTAATACCCAAAATGCGTATAAACTAATTATCGGTATTTGGCAATATTATCCTTGGCTCTTAAAAGTACTTATTCCGTTTCATGATTTGTCTAGGAAGACACCGAAAAATAGCCATAATACATGTCTATTTGATAATAGATCAGGTAGTTAAAAGTGAAGGGTTAAATAAGGTAAGCTATTATGAGTAATTATGTTTGAAATCGCCTGTTTAGATTCAAAAGTATGAAAAAGCAAAAAGATCTAATCGATTCATGTCGTCACTCTGATGTGGAACGTGTCAATTTCAACAAAAACATCGATATATCGGACCTGATGTCAATGCGGGTAGTTATGCTTGTATTAAAGCTTAATTTATAAGGTACTCTGCTTCAGGTCAAGACGAAGTCGACTACATGAAAATGGTGACCGCTTTGGTCTTCGAAGTACTGGAGAAGGCCTGGGCTCTTAGACAGTGCGCTCTGATCGATATGAAAATTGAGTTCGGAGTTGACGCAGAAGGTGAGACATCATGAATCTCACTCACTATGTCCGTTATTTCATGCAGTGTTCCTCATGATGGTGACCGTTTTATCCTTTACTTAAAAGAAATAGCAACGCGATGGAGTGTCTAGTATAATCAACATTGGTGTATTGATCATATCGTTATTTATTTTATTTGATTGGAATTAACAGGTTCACTGAGTAATTAAATTCATAAATATTATGTACCTATACGATGTTAATTGCCAACCGTCGTCAATGAACATTTACCCCACCCGTGGGTGGGGTTGCAGATGCGTTGCCACATTTCATAATACTAGTGATTTCCGGTTACCTAACTTACCAGACGAAACGCAGAAACATAACACTTTCCCTTCACCCGGTCTTCTGCGAGGTCGGGATACTTACCCGGACGGACCTGCCCATTCGGACAACAGTGGAGACTTGCGTGCTGTGGTAGATACAGTACCAAAAAAGATAAATAATAAGTAAATTAACATAATTGCTACATATATTTTGTTAACTTGTGCATTTATCATCATAACAAGTGATATGGATAGGATATTCACATATTGTATGAATTCTTATTTAAAAACTTCTTCGTAATAAAAATGCACAATTCACAGGCTAACGTCACAGATGATATTGAAAAAATAGTGTATTTCGCAATAATGACTCAATTTTGGACCTAATTATAAGACTGTGGTATCAACATTCAATGTCCATTTTCAGGCAACATTCTCGTCGCTGACGTCATCGACTCAGACTCTTGGAGGTTGTGGCCTTCTGGTGATAAACGCCTTATGGTCGATAAGCAAGTAAGACCTTATCTATTGTCCGGGATGCTATTATTAACTATTATAGTGTTCCCGTGACTTATATTTATGTTTCGACAGGTTTTCGTCATTCGAACATTATATGATGCAATATGTAGGATGTAGGTAATGGAACGTTTTCATTAAACACATTTAAATGAAATTTATATCAATGAATTTTTATCCGCGCGGGAAAAATACTAGGTATCCTGTCTGTATTCGTTTAACATTCATGGCATTTCGATCATAAGACGACATGATAAATTTTACTACTCGAGGCAGTGCACATAAATACGACCAATGATATATTATATGTTTAAAAAAATATTGAAACATCATTGAATAGGACAATAAAAATGGACTGTGCTGTTATCATTAAAGTGTTCCACGATTAACGTTTAATCGTAGCATCGTAGTTCATCCAAGTATACGAGCACAGCGAAACCGGCACAAGTCAACGCCGTCTTAGAACATACGTGGGCCCTATGGCACGGTAGAATTTGGCGCCTATATACCTCGTACGTCATAAACGTATATTTGATTTATCCCTCAAGTTTTATAATTTTCCAGAGAGCACACTTGGTGTTCTGAGGAAAATAATGATGGTTCTTCAATCGAGGTATTAATGGGTAAATCTCATTGAAATGTTACCAAAATTAGACTAGTCCAGTTTGTACAACAGTTACTTGCACTGTTTGCTTGACACGATCGCTCTCTATACACCCAGGTGTACAGAGACTTGCAGAACGTCACCGCCGCCGATCTGGACACGGTTAAGCGTAACTTCGCCTGGGTTAAGGACCAGCTCGACCACCTCAAGCCGACCGTTCTGCACAAAGTCGTTGTGTTCATGGGCTCGCCTCAAGATCGCGAACACTGCAACAAAATAGCCAATGGTGAGTTAAAAAAAAATAATTTTTTCCTTTTATCGCGGTAATATAAAATATATATATAGGTTCCGAAAGTGCATCGTGTAAGGGTTTGCTGGAAGTCGATGAAAAATCTAATGTTCAAGGCTTTCGGTGAAGAAATTATTATGAAAATGTCTGCGATGTTAAGTGATTTCTTACCATGTACCATCTCTAGCCCCGGAGAGTTTGCAGATGCTTTGCCAAACTTCAAAGAAGTGCGCCCAACTTATACTCCAGACGAAACGCGAAAGCACAAGGCTTCCACTTATTTGTACTTTCATGACGAGACTTCATTGCTGCAATAGCAGAAGGTGCGTTGCTGCTACAAGGCCCCACATAATACCAACGCAAAGAAGTATTTGAACTTGTGCGTTTCGTCTCCTGAGTGACTGGAAGCCAAGCCCTAAAGTTTAATTGAATTAAAACCTTATGTACCTGTGGAGGTAATAAGATTGCCAGAAAGTTAATTATTATAATTAGTATAAGTTAAAATGTTTTTTTAAATTCCACAAAATGTTCTTAATGTTAAAATTAAGTAAGTTAATGTTAGGTAAAATAATGTTTTTAGTCGGTAATTTTAGGTGCATCCGGCCTACACGCGAGTTAGTGGTACACTGTTTTTATATTACGAATTTATGGTGTCTTATAAGTACACACATACGAGTACATATAGTGTTCGGTTACTTAGCCTGAAAAGTATCCTCACTGACTTAAAACTCTGTCTTGAATTACAATCTGGTGAATTTCTTCGTCTCTACATAAAAAAAAAACAATTACATTGTACGTATTCAATTCATGAACTGAAACAGAACAATAATGTTTTAATATACTGTATATGTATATTGCAATATGGCGTATATTATATTTATCTAGCGGCAAGAACATTGGGGTTGGACGTGGACCTCCGCGTGACGTCAGCACACAAGGCGACCGAAGAGACCCTCCGCATAATGCAGCAGTACGAAGACACTCACGGCGCTTTGGTTTTCATCGCGGTTGCCGGCCGCTCCAACGGCCTCGGGCCCGTACTATCTGGCAACACTTCCTACCCAGTGATTAACTGCCCGCCGCCTTCCGACAAACTTGTGCAGGTAACACTAGTCAATCTAGGATCTTCATTAATTCCGCATTACCTTTAATCACCAGTCAAAATTACAATTAATTAGAAGATTAGAAGTAAAAAAACTTGTTTTATGTTTATTTCAGCCAATCAACTTGCTTTATTTGTACTTATTGATCGTCATCTCAATATTTCTCCTATACTGTCATCACTAACACAGATCTATTTGTTATTGATGATGTTTAATTTTTTAAGACTAAAAAAAATTATTGCTCTGAAAAAATCCGAAAACAAGAATAGTTGTATATAATTTAGTACTGTATTTAACATATGCATATAAATTACATAGTTTGTAAATATTAGCGTTTTCCTTGTTAGAAATCTCTCTGTGGTAGGTAACCTTATTTTCTCTTTACCACCCCAAGGTTGACTGGGAAATAATGCTTTTAGCATTAAGTCAAAGGGTAAATAAATAAAAATAAATAAATAGTGTCACTTAAAATTGAAAAATGTTTCAAAAACTGCAGGATATCTGGTCATCACTCTCCGTGCCTTCAGGCCTCGGTTGCGCAACCGTCATATATCCGGACAGTGCCGCCATCATGGCCGCGCAAATTATCGGACTTCAAGATTACTTAATCTGGGGCAGACTCAGAGCCAAGCAGATCGAAATGAGCGCATCGCTTAGGAAGGCCGACAAGGAAGTCAGAAACAATTAGCACCATGATCAATGCTGCTGCTATATTTTTAGATTTAGTGTTTTATACCTCCTTATTAACTGCATCATGCAGACATATTTTTTCATAATCTTTTTTATATAAATAAAGAATAAGGGCCAATACGTTTTGAAATATTATGTAAGCTTTTGCCGGTTCAATAATTTAAGCAAAATCAAAAAGTTCAGCTCATTCAACATTGCCATGTTTAATATTCATTTTAGACAAGACATTTTTGTAGAAGAATCTCTTAATTGAAATAATATAAGATTAAACGTTTAAGGTGAATCATTCCATTAAAATTGTTTTAAAATTCTATTTTGCTTATTTATTTCCTATCTTACAACTGAATAAGTGTTGTTCAAGACGTTAACACGTAATTCGAGGTTCTGTGTCTAGAATCTCTATGGTGTACATGAATGTATTCCATTATTTCGGATTATAAGTTGAAATCATTGTTAAATCGTTCCGATAAACGCCATGAATGCGTTACGTTTACTAGCTCTGTTAAACGGTGTAAAAAGGGCTTAAAAATTCTTGTTTAAAACTGAATCATAAAAATTTTTCCGCGTCGAAACAAGTAACATAAAAATGAAAACCAATATTTTAGAAGAGCCTCAAAATGTCGTCAAATCTTTTGTATAATTCTAAACGCACTCTACGAACAATTTCTAACCTAGATATGACACTGAGAAGGTGTTCAAGGAGTCTGTCAGATGCAGTAGTAGGTTCCAAGGAATCGAACCCCATTTATTTTTAGGGAGTGCCTGCTAGAGATATGGCGTATACATATGTATAATGGAACAGATTTTTACACTAAGTTCAAAGAGTAAAGTTATATATAGGAGACTAAGTTTCAATCGATATGTCTCAAGACTATATTTAAATTGATCATTAAGATTCTAAACAATTCAGCAAGTTTAACCATCCTTTTGGAAACTCAAATGAAATTAAACATTTTAAAAGCCATTTGACAGCTGATTAGTTAACTTCTACGATGATCATTGTTATTTGTTTCAGAAACCGGTTAACTTAAGGCCTAAAGTTGAAATTGAGATTTGTATATACTGACATCGAACGGTCGTTTGCAAAAATTAAATCACGAAAATAAATAATTAACGAGGATTCATGATTTATGAGAACATAAGTTTCACGAAAATAATCAATTTGTGATAACAACTACTAATAAGACTAGTTTAGCTTGTAACTCGTAACCAATTAGCCGCTGAGCATTACTGTGAATTGTTGTGCACTAGTTTAATTATCAATTGTGTTTTGGCAACATCTTTACTTGAAATGTCAATGTCAGCAAGTTTAATGCGGAGAAGTGTTTTGGGTTGTGCATTATTGAAAAAAGTTTCTGCAAGGCATATATTTACAAACAGAATGTCTGAAAAACCGACAGATTACCTAGCCACTAATGGTTTTGAAAGTAAAACACCATTCCTGATTGGCGTAGCCGGAGGTACAGCAAGTGGAAAGGTTAGTTTACTGTGGTAACAATTTATTGATTTTTATCCATTGAAGACACACTTACATAACTGGCAGGTTAACCTTGATCATATCAGAAATCTTTAAATAACAGTGTTCAGTCATATCAATCTGGATATTAATAAAAGCGTTAATTGCTTAAATGCGTCCTAACCTCATGCCTTCTCAACTTCAATCCTGAATTTGTTTTTTTAAGATGATGATTCAATTCAGATTAGCATTAGGTTTTCATATATTTCAGCTATACAGTTCTCGATAGCATTAGTCGTAAAATTAGAAGAATATACTTGCTAATTGTGTACAAAATGTTTGAAACAGTCTGCAACGTAGAGTACTCAGCAGATTATCTCAATGCTTTAAAAAGTTTGTAAATAAATCTTCTAGTCATTAATTTCATAATTTTTTCTACTTTTCTTGAATATAACAGTGTTGTAGCAATCCTTTTCAGACATTGGTACTTGCAATGTAGCAGAAAATGTAAACATCCTTCTTACATGAATGGAACAATGTAAAATTGTTTCAAATTGTCATGTTCCAATATGTGTAATCTTAAATGTGGGTACTTTTTACTTTGTTGTCAAATAAAGTTAAATAAGTGAAGGCAGGAGTAGAAGCGACGGACAATTTACGTATTGTGTTGAGCTACCTAGCTAATTACATTATAGTACATACTTAACGTCTTTTATTATTATTCTGGACATAATAGTGGCGACGAGTATAAAAACTTAGTAAAATGGATCGAAAAGCAGTGAAGTTTGAAGAATTTAACCCAAAAACAAACAATTGGCACAATTATCTTAACCTTTTAAAATTTTGTTTCGAGGCTAATGGCGTCGTATTAGATCCAGCCGGAAGAGCTAACTTTTTCACAGTGTGTGGGTCAGAAGTTTTTAGACTTTGCTAGCGTTAATTACTCCAAAATAAGCAAGTGATGTGACATTCAGTGAAATAGAAGTAATTCTAACAAATCATTACAGTCCGAAGCCTAATGAGATATCAGTTTCATTTAAATTTTATAACTGTAATCAAAAACAGAGTGAAGCGGCGTCTGACTATGTTGCTCATTTACGTAAACTCAGTTCGGGATGCAATTTCTACGACTTAGAAAGAATGTTACGCGATAGACTTGTTTGCGCCATGTGGGACGAGAAATTACAATATGAATTATTAAAACGTGATAACTTAAGTTATCAAGATGTAGTAGATGCGATGTTGTCAGCCGAAAGCGCAGGCCGGGACGTTCGCATGATTCAAGAGAGCACGTCGGGGGTATCGGCGCGTTCAGCAGTGGCGCAGCCCTATCCAACAGTACACGGCTCAGACGAGCCTATGGAAATTAATGCAGTGCGATCAAAAGCAAATTTCCGTTTTTGTTACCGTTGCGGTGACAAACATACGGGCGAGTGTCGATTTATAAATGCTGTTTGTAAATATTGTAAAAAGAAGGGTCATTTGGAAAAGATTTGTTTGAGTAAGAAGAAGGATACTAAGCACAATTTAAAGTTTATATCGGACTCGGGTGAATATTGGAATAGTGTATATTGCCTCCGTGGCGATAGTCGCGTGCCTCCTTATGAAGTAATGGTAACTATAGCAAATGTACCGATTTCAATGCAAGTGGATACTGGAGCTAGCTTTTCTCTTGTAAATGAACGTACGTGGCAGGCATTGAGCTCACACCTACAAGACACAGCATTGCAGCCCGTATCTATTTCGTTGCGCACGTGGACCGAACCACCTGTCAAGTTACGCGGACAAATAACACTACCGGTTCAGTACAAGGATATCTGCAAAAAATTACCTATTATAGTGGCAAGAGGAAATGGACCTAATCTTTTGGGTCGGACTGGTTAAATCCACTTCATATAACAATGAATATCAATTATGTAACAAAATATGACATGCAAGAAATGGACAAAATTTTATTAAAACATAGTGAAGTTTTTCAGGAAGGACTTGGTACCTACCGGGGACAACCAGTGAAAATACATATAAAGCCAGGTGCTATTCCCAAATTTCTAAAAGCGCGTCCTGTGCCTTTTGCTATTAAACAAAGGGTGGAAATGGAAATAGACCGTCTGGAAAAAGAAGGAGTTCTACGCCCTACAACCTTTTCGGATTGGGCTACACCGGTAGTTCCTATTTTAAAAAAAATCTGGCGATATACGACTATGCGGAGACTATCGCAGTACAGTTAATGAGGCAACCGAGTCAGATACTTATCCCATGCCTACAGCAAACGAAGTATTTGCCGCCGTGGCTGGAGGGAGATTTTTCACAACCTTAGACTTAGATCGAGCATACACCCAGGTAACGGTGGACGAGCAGACGTCAAAACTATTAACACTAAATACTTGCAAGGGTTTATATTCGGTGCATCGGTTGGCTTTTGGTGTAAAAGCAAGCCCAGGAATTTTTCAACGCTTGATGACGTCTTTACTGGCTGGTGTCAATGGAGTGGCAGTTTTGATAGACGATATTATCATTTGTGGTCAAACTATGATGGAAATGGAAAATCGCTTAGACATAGTAATAGGAATAGGATAAAGCGGGCGGGACTACGTCGTAACAAAATAAAATGCCAGTTTGCGAAGGAAAAAGTTGAATTTTTAGGTTTTGTCATTGATGCTGAAGGCATCCATCCTGCAAGAAGTAAGGTAGAATCAATTGTAAACACACCTCAACCAAAAAATAAACGAGAATTGCAAGCTTTTCTTGGATTGTACAATTTTTATGAGAGGTTCATACCACACAACCATACTAGAACTATTACACCGGTTATTAGACTCTACACATCCATAGACATGGACTGAACGCGAATAAAGTGCGTTCGATGTAGCCAAACGTCTGCTGACGTCCGACCTGACTTTGGTGCATTACGACGTAAACAAACCGTTAACCATAACATGCGACAGTTCAGAATATGGGGTCGGAGCAGTTTTATCACATGAAACGGAAGGCGGTCAAGAACGTCCAATAGCAATGGGTCGAGGACACTGCACTCTCATGAAAGACGTTATTTGCAATTGGATAAAGAAGCTACAGCAATAATGTTTGGTATTAAAAAATTTCATAACTATCTCATGGGTCGACAATTTAAGATAATTACGGACCGCTGCTGGGTATATTTGATCCTATAAAACCATTGCCTAATATGTTATCTCCGCGATTGACTAGAATCGCGATTGCTCTGATGTCTCATAGTTATGAGATAAAATATAAACCAGGTTCACAAATTGGTTACGCCGATAGTTTAAGCCGATGGCCCCAACCTGTTCCTGAACAAGCAGAACAACAATTAGGTGAGGTATTATTAATTGCCGAAACACCGGAAGACTTCCCGTTTGATGTGAAAGATATATCCAGGGAAACAAAGGGCGATAGGATTTTGTCACGAGTAATTTTTTACATACAGCGAGGTTGGCCTGTTAGAATAACAGATCCCGATTTACGTCCCTACTGGTTGCATCGCACAGAGTTATCATTACAAGAGGATTGCATACTACTTGGTTGTCGTGTAGTAATACCAAAATCGATGCGATATGAAATATTAAAAGTATTACATAAAACACACTCAGGTATAGTGCAAACAAAAGTACTTGCCAGAAGTTATGTTTGGTGGCCAAATCTCAACGAGGATATAGAAGCACTGGTTAGATCTTGTTCCAAATGCTTGGAGAATAGGCACATGCCTCCAAGAACCAACCACGAATGGATCACACCGACAAGACCATGGTCGAGAATTCACGTCGATTTTGCAGGACCATATCATAAAAAATATTTTTTAATTATAGTGGATGCCTACTCACGTTGGCCTGAACTATACATGGTGAACAATACTACTTCCTCTACAGTTATTCGACTTCTAAGAACAACATTTGCTACCCATGGACTCTGTGAGGTGGTGGTGTCTGATAATGATGTACCATTATTGTATCGAATGAAATGAACAGATTCTTGGAGGCTAATAATATCCGGCATATAACTACAGCACCTTACCACCCCGCTACTAATGGATTGGCGGAAAGAATGGTCAAGACAAATTAAGCAAAATGGAAGATATGGCGTGGGAGGTAAAAATTCCGAATATACTACTCGGTCTTCGAGTAACACCATGCAGCACTACAAATAAGAGTCCGGCAGAATTATTGATGAAGAGACGTTTACGCACATTACTAGATACAATACATCCAGATTATATACCTCATGAAAGAATGGAAAAACAAATACATAATAATGTTCAAAGAAAAAGCAGAAGCGCTAATGTTGGACAGGAGATTATGTATCGCAATTATAGTAGTACTGGGCCCAGATGGCTACGAGGCATGGTTATTAGTAAAAGTGGTCCATCAAGTTATAAACTGCAGACAGATGATGGTATACTTATTAATCGTCACATTGATCAGATAATAAGGAAGATACCGGGAAAAGTTGTGGAGTCAGAAGTTGAGAATGAAGAAAGTGGAAGAAATACGGAACCAACGACGGAACAAGTATATTCAGATAATACTAGAGATGGTAACAATCATAGAGAGGAGTCTGAGAACAGTGAAGACACTGAGAGAATAATTGAAATCCCAGACTCTGATCAATTGGCTGAGATGTTAGGAATACCATCCACCACAGAAATAACGTCTTCAACGATAGGCAAAATAAAGCACAAATCATGTTTGCATTCACAGACGCCATATCAAAGATCTAAGGCTCACAAAGACTAATTAGTTAACTAAGACTATTAATTTTAAATGTTATTGATTTTTTCTTCTTTTGATTATTCTGTGGTAGGTAGCTTACTAAGGGGTGAGGTATGTCATGTTCCAATATGTGTAATCTTAAATGTGGATACTTTTTACTTTGTTGACAAATAAAGTTAAATAAGTGAAGGCAGGAGTAGAAGCGACGGACAATTTACGTATTGTGTTGAGCTACCTAGCTAATTACATTATAGTACATACTTAACGTCTTTTATTATTATTCTGGACATAATACAAATTATATTTCCTTTTTATTTCATTTAATTAAATAAGACATTTAATTGCAAACTCAACTAGATAATTATAAGATATAACACAAAAATAGTGGGATTTTCAGTATTATTTAAAGTTTAATAAAATAGTAAAGTTGGATAGTGTTCTAGTTAAATTCACATCAAAATTATACCTCATTTTTTTTTAACTGTCACTGTCATTGTGTGCATTATATTATTTTACTAATTATATATATAAAAATGAATTGCTGTTTGTTAGTCTCGCTAAAACTCGAGAATGACTGGACCAATTTGGCTTATTTTGAAATATTTGTGGTATTCCAGGGAAGGCTTAAACAATGAGAAATTATGGAAAAATTGCATTGAAAATTGAAATAGCAACAATTGTTTTTTTCGTACAAATTGTTCCTACTTGTCAAACATTTTATGTGTGCGTTCCGAAAATTCTTTGTTCAGCTAGTTATCAAATATTTTTTTATACATATATTTTAATAGATTAAGAGCTATAAATAAGAATGTTATGCCTATATCTGTATACAGAGTGTCTTTACAATCTCGACAATAAATGAACACTGTGAATTGCGTATAGGGGATAACTTTTTAAAATTGTATTAAACATTTACATTCTTTAAACGTCAATATTTACAGAGTTATTAAAATTTCAAAAACAAAGAATTTTAGAACACCCTTACGTATAAAACTGTACTGTAAAATTCATTTGTAAAGGTCACACAGCATATGAATGGGTTGGATGAATATAAAAGAGACAAAACGTACTGTTAGAAGGAAAGGCTTGTAATGCGACGCTGTGGCGCGAGTTGTAACAAATTTTGTTTCTTTTTTACTTAATTAGATTGTTTGAAAAATGTTTTTTTAATTGTGGATTTTGTTTATATTATTATTAAATATTTTTTTATGATTATTGGCAAGTTGTTAGACATGTGTTCATTTATTGTCGCGATGGTAACGACACGCTATACATACATATCTATTGTAAATACAAAAATGTATATACTAATAATTACACTAACTTTGCCCATGTGTTAAAAATCAATAAAGTACAATAATTTTTTATTTTCAATAATTGTAAATTTATAGGTTATGCTAGTTTATAGTATGGGTGCTCTGCTTGAAGAACACAAGTCAATGAAATTGTGGTTTGCATTAACTTTATGACCTAGTATCTTCACTGGAATCATTATCTCATGATAAAACTTCTTACATTTGTTTAATGGCATTATTATTATTTTCAATTAATCACTAAATATTAAAATCGGTCCCCTTACAACTAACGCGCCGTCAAAGTTTTATTTTATGTCGACGACCCGAATGGCGTTGTGGGTAGTGTACCTGCGCCAGAGGGTGTGGGTTCGATCCCCACTACTGGATAAATATTGTGTGATGAACATAGTATTTTTCTAGTGTTTGGGTGTTAATATATGTATAATGTGTTTTTTTACAAAAGAAAAGTATGTTTAAGTATGTTTATCAGTTTTCTAGTACCCTTAGTAGTCCCAGACTAGAGTCCCAGTGGGACTAGAGAATGTTGTGTAAAAATGTGTCCTAAAATATCTATTTATTTAAATATTGATGTGTTGTTCTTTTTCTACCGCGCTGCATACACATTTATTTGTGAAATGTTATTTAAGCCGTCTCGTGTCAGTCGACAGTGTGCCAGCGCATCATGGAGAAGCTGGGCCAACAGCACAAGGAGCAGACCGAGCGGCGCGTGGTCTGCATCAGCCAGGACTCGTTCTACCGCACCCTGACGCCGTCGGAGCGGCTGAGGGCCGAGCGGGGCCAGTTCAACTTCGACCACCCGGACGCGTTCGACGACAAGAAACTGCTCGCCATCTTGAAGGACATCCTCGCCGGCAAGAGGGTGGAGGTGCCGGAGTACGACTACATCACGAACTCGATTAAGTGAGTCGCGTTTGAATAGCATTGTTTTAACACGGGGTTAGTGTCGAATAGAGTTGCCAACAATAATTTATAATAACGTATTTTACTTTATTTCTGGTAAAGATACTTTATATTTTTGCATAAAAATAAAGCATGTCAAAATACTCTATTTTCAATATTTACTGTGATGCATAAAATAAAACGCTTGCAATGTATGTACCTATATGAATAATTACTGAACTTTTATTGATACCTTTAAGTAAGTTAAGACTGAACGCTTTAAAATTATTATTAATTTATTATTTTTTTTCTTCCAAATACTTTTTTTTCTCTATTGAAATATGTGATACTTTATTTGTCTCAAAAACTGTTGGCAACCCTAATGTCGCAAGCCTCAGCTTGTTGAATTTCGAGCCAAAGACAAACCCAACGCAGTCGTTTATGCGTAATGTTGTGTATCAACAACGCGTCCGAGCGTGGCAGAACGTTAATTTGCGTGACCTATTTTATGTTCAAGACTTTATTTAGAGATCAATCTCAACTACTCGTAAGTTACAAAAATACCTTCTTATTAGAACAAGTAATACCACTTAGTTCTGAACCTAGGGTCTATTTGACGTCATTAAGTGATTATACATGAACGAAGCTTGAAAGTGTGTTGTTTAATCTTTCAGTGTTTGAGAAAGTAAGGAGTGGTAGGTTGACATGATATGGGCACGTTATGAGAAGAGATGAAAGTCATGTGACTAGAAGAGTGATGAGTATGAATGTGGTTGGATGGTGTAAATTTAGAGGAAGACCGAGAAAGATTTAGATGGACTGTATGAAGAATGATATGTCTGTGAAAAAAACAGTGAGTATTGAGATGACGGCTGATAGAGGAAAGTGGAAGAAAACGATATGCTGTGCCAAACCCACCTAGTGTTGGATAAGGGCAGGAGAAAGAAGAAGATGATTATAGATAAACGAAGACTCTCAGGTCTCGGATCATTAACTCATTCTCCAGCTACTTAAGCCCGAGTTGAAGCACAGGCAATTCATTATGAAGCAGTTTTCTGATGTGATTGCTGACAATAACTTAACTGTGATGGCTGACAACAAGTGGCTGACTTGTTCTTTCATCTTCTTGTATCACAGTTCTTTCTCAAAAAGTATTACTGAACAAATAAGCGACCTGATTAGCATAGTGAATAGAGAAGCTGTCTCTTACGCCGGAGGGTGTGGATTCGATTCCTGCTACTAGAAAAATATCATGTGATGAACGTAGTATAGCAGACCTCGCCATCTTTATAATGACCCTATGATCGCCTGTCCTAATTTCACGGGATTTAAGTGGGATATAAAAACTATACTCCATGATTCAATGAGATATTGCTTTAATGATGCAATCATGAGAATCTCAGGGTTTTAAATGGAATTTTAAATTCCTGATAACAGCAAGAAGTGTTTGAAATTTCGTTGGGAATCCATAAACAAAGTTATAATAAAACAATAACACCCTACTTACATTTCACAAGTGATAGCCTATTATTTATTTTTATAAGAAAAGTCTATCTCTTAGGGACGTCGAAAAAATATAGATATCGATAAAACATATCGATATTTTTGATTTCATATATCGATATTTTAGCTGATTATTATTATATTCTTTATTGAACACCAAAAAAAACATGAAAGGAAATGTTACAGAACTATAAACTTAAGAGGTATAAACAATAAGGCGGTCTTATCGCTAAGGAGCGATCTCTTCCAGACAACCTTGTGGTTAAAATATTTAATTTGGACAACGGTAGGTGGTGTAAATGATAAACTTACATATTAATATTTAAATAAACTAAACGAATATGTTGTATTTTTGTATAATAATAATATACTAATATATAAGAAATAAGATCCAATAGACATACATAAATCTAAACATATACTTTACAATAACTTACAAAAATATATACAGGAAGAAAAGAATAAAAAATAAATATACAAATGTCGTCGGTGATAATCTGCTTGAACACAGTGACAGATAATAATTTTTAACGTCAGTTTTAAACTTGCGTAATGTTTTTGAGCGCTGGATGTGTGGAGGAAGCGCGTTCCATAGGCAAATGGCTTTGACCGTAAAAGAGTTCTTAAAATAATTGGTCCGGAAAGTATGCGGGGTGATAATGAGTTCACTGGCTGATCGCAGAACTCTTTCTGGTCTGTCATGACCAAGAAATTTAAACTGTTCCTTCAAATAACTCGGAGTCACAGGATTGAACAAAACACAGTACAGAAGAGAAACAATATGCAGATTCCGGCGAAGGCGGATGGGTAACCACTTGCGTAGACCGAAAATAAATCTGATAGCTAAGTTTATAATTCGCTCAAGTTTGTTAAGTTGGTCCTCGGTTAAATCAAGATAGCTTGCGTCCGCATAATCGAGAAGGGAAAGAAGTAAGGATTGTGCTAACATAATCTTAGTACGAATGGGGAGAAAAGAACGTAAACCCCAAGGAGAACCCATGGCTGCAAATGTTTCAAAGCTGATATATTTGGATACGATATATCTTATATCGTAAAGAGAAAATATCGATACTTTCTCTTCGATATATCGATATATTTTTTCACTTTCCACATCACTACTATCTCTTGTCTATTTATCAATCAATAGCACAATAGTTTAATTACCTAAGTGATTCCAAATGATTCCTGATTGAGAAATGTCCATCTCTTTCCAATTTATCACCAGCCCGCACCGCTCGCACACGATCTACCCGGCGGACGTGGTGCTCATCGAGGGCATCCTCGTGTTCTACTTCCCCGAAGTGCGCGATCTGTTCCACATGAAGCTGTTCGTCGACACCGACTCGGATACGAGGCTCGCGAGGAGAGGTGAGGGGACGCTTTCGAAGTCAACAGTCTCACAGACCCACACACACCCATGGGCGGTAGGCACATGCTTAAAATAGCAACAATAAGTTTATTGCAGAGCATAAATTCATAATTCCAATAGTTTTAATTTCAATTACAGATAAAAGAAGAAGAAAAACTAACTTATACAGCGTGTCGTTACCATCGCGACAATAAATGAACACACGTCCAACGCTACTTGCCAATAATCATAAAAAAATATTAACGTTAAAAAAATCCATAATTAAAAAGAATATTTTTCAAACAAAGTAATTAAGTACATCCTATACAACTACAACTGACTGATTCATACATTCAGAGACTTTTTCATTCGTTGCCACAGCGTCGCATTACAAGCCTCTTCTAACAGTATGGTTTGTCTCTTTTAAATTCATTCCCACTCATATGCTTTGTGACCTTGACAAATGAACGTTACGTTACAGTTTTATACGTAAGGGTGTTCTATAATTCTTTGTTTTGGAAAATTTAATTACTCTGTATATACTGACGTTTAAAGAAAGTAAATGTTTAATACAATTTTAAATGTGTGTTCATTTATTGTCGCGATTGTAAAGACACGCTGTATATACTGTAGGGTTATTTAAATATAAACTAAATTACAATATCAATACGTGTATGATATATCTTTCAGTGTTTTAAAAATTCGACTATCCCTTCGTCCGCTAAACCTTTCCAAATCGGTACTACTTCTTAAACGGGACATCAAAGAAGACATTCGTTTTCTAATAACATCAGTTTATGTAATATATATATATATATATATATAGCTTAGGAAAACATAAATATTTTATCTTCGCCCGTAGAACTTTTTCATTGACTTTAGGGCAATGAAGCTTTCACAACCCTAGGCCTTAGAGCAAAAATAAAATCTGGCAGAGTTAATGATTAAAGCCGCGTTTGTCTACGTGATTATATTTGTTTTTAGGTTACAAGAACAACTCATAATACGTTTTTTTAAGCTAATGCATAGCTTTTATCGCGGGCTTTGAGCGCGGCGACCAAATCAATAAATTCCGTAACGAAAATATAACCTAACGCTAAATTATAAATGATGTCTTAACGGTATTTGACATTTTTGCCCGTACTTTATTATATGAAGATACATTTGGTTACGTAATTCATCAATGGCAGTGAAACACTTATTAGGAACACGATGTTTGGTCAGCCTTTTATTAAAAATGGTGTTAAATTTGAAAAATGTTGAGTCGTACTAAAAACCGATCGCCAATTTGGTTTGACGTTTTCGTAAAAAGGCGTTAATGTAAAGGAAACTCACAGGTAAGTCGTAAAGGTCATAGCCACTGCAATCAGCCGGACGGTTGTATTAAAAAAAAAAAAAAAAGAAAGTCACTAAAACCCACCACCCTCGAGGAAAACTCTTTGCAGCGGCTATGCTCTTACGTAGCCGCCGAATTGGGCCGCGTCACTAAAGGCGCGCGCTAAAGTCGTTTTCTCGTTGTTGCAGTGGCTATTGACCTAATCGTGCACCACATATGGGACATTATGTACAAGAAGCGACCGGCCCCGAAGCTCGCGAACGGCGGCTGCAACGGCGTCCACCTGGAGGTGGACGAGGGCAGCGGGCGGCGGATGTCCGGCAGCTCGGAGGACACGCTCAGCCGATAGCCAAGGCGGGAAAATGGGCATCCGCCGCGCTTTCCATCCGGATCCACCGTTTCCGAAGGCGTCCCCCCTCCGTAGATAGGCCCCGCGGTCTTGTTATCAGGCCATATAATCTTTATTAAAAAAAAATACGCCCCGTGCGCGCGCGCCGTCACAATCATTTCGAACTTCGAATATTCGTTTTTTTTTTATTATTTACGGTCAGTATTATTTTGTAATTCCTCGCGTTGCGAAATTTGTGGAAGGTTTAATTTCGTTCGTCCCGTAATGTAAATGATGTGGTTAGGTTTGCGTGTGAAACTGTTCAGAGGTAGTTATGATTATTGGATAGTTATTCGTATAACCGTGTTTTTTTTTTAATTTTTAAACGGTGTTAATAATTATTACTTAAATAATGTACTACGACAGTTTTAATAGTTTTATTGTATAACCGTGTTTTTATTTTTCTTTTGTTTGGGAACTGGTTCCAATGTATTTATCCCCCCTTTTATGTTTTAAAATTTGGATACTTTTTGGTGATACGACATCAATATATAGACAAGAATAATACACGACAATATTTGTTATAGCAAGGAATAGTACACAATTTAAAGCTGCAAATCAAAGTATTTTTAATGTAAAAAAACTAATTGCGGTAACTGGATAAAATACACATTTAAAAGTGTACTTCGAATAAAATCACTTAAATTCGGACAAAGATATAAATGTCATTATATTAGTCTATGTTAATGGTAAATTTCTTACTATTTTATTTTACTTAACGGGTATTTCCGAATCGTAAAACGGGCATAAAAAGGTTCTAATGGCAACAAAAATATTTCAATTTCTTTATAAATTACAATATTGTCTTCGTAAACTATCTGTTTTAATATAAAATAACTTATAACTAGCCCAGTGAAATATTCATTCTTGGTTATGGCTTATTAACGTTTTTGTTATGAATATAAATTAAGGTTTATAACTATTTTGTTAGGTATCAGCGTTGTAAAACCTGAGATAGAATAATATATATGCATGCTTGAGGTCTTTGGGAGTATTCTTGCATTTGTTTTACGGTTTATGTTAATGTATTTTTTTTTTCATTTATTCGTATTCTTGTTAAGTTACGTGTACGGTTCGCTTTTTGTATTAAAAACCGAATTACTCTTCCTGACGCGACGAGCTTCCCCTGGTAGATATTAAGATGTTTTTTCTTAAATGTATTTAGTATATGTTACACATACTGTGGAATTTTTCGTTACTTTTTTTTTAATTTTGATTATAAGTTTCGTTTGCGATTTGTGGGACTGTAATATTTCACCTAATGGATGATCCATTGGTTTAAGTTTTTATCTTCACTCAGTAATAACTGCGCATGCGTGACGAATATAGGAACATGTAAAAACAAATGTCAAAAATAATTTATACTTTAATATGTATGTATTTGTTTTTAAAAAACTACGTCATCATTGTTGTGCATGTTAACTTTGAAAATTATTGTGTTCTGCATTCAAATTATACAATTCTATTCATATTTAATTTTGTAGTAAATGTAATAAAACCGTAAAATTTAATCTGTAACATATTTTTTTGTTTGAAATTTAATTTTTGAACGTTTTCTTTAAAATGGATTTATTGTCTTTAATTCGTTGCACATGCGCAGTTTACGTTCCAATACATGTATGTAAGGCCTTTATGAATTATTTAGTTTAAGAAAACTATATGTGTATAGGCTGACGTTTACAAAGTACATACGGTAGGATGTAAGTTAATTACTAGGTACGTCGTATAATAAAATATGAATTTGAGGATACTATTTCATGCAGAAATTGTTAATGACGTTCAAATTATTTGTCTAGTTTTACAAGTGTTACGAATATTTTTAATGCTTTTCACATCAATAAATTCATCGAAAGGACATTCAATCAATTTCTAAACAAATGTATTTGAAATAGTCTTTTTTTAAACAAGTGGCGTATTTAGTTAAATCTGACATGACATTTCGTTGAATGCCGCTGCTATGGACTCTACAAGTAAAACAGCACAAAATGCAGTCTTACGCGCACTACTACTTATGAAAGTATCATTTTAACTCTTTCACACATATACAAACAAATTTATAGAAATATATTTTGCTTAAAACTATTAGAATGGTACACATATTATGCAATACTATAATCAAATTGTCTAATTGTATATTACTCTGTCAAAAATTTTATTCTGAGTTTTTAAGTGTTAATAAATAACCATCTAAGAAGATAATTATGAAACATGTTTGTAATATTTAAAATGGTATATGTTTGTCAACTTTGATACAGCTAGATTGACAGACAGTAAGAAATAAGATTAAAATATAAAAAAAGAAATAAAATCAAAAATAGGTAATTGGTTTTCAGTTCTTAGGAAAAGTATTCGCTTTAATTTGTCGGTGTAACATTTTTATTGGTAAATTAATTTTTTTTTCTTATATTGAGTTGCATACCGTGAACCAGAAGTGCAGAATGTAAATTGTGAATTGAATTTTTTTCTTTAAATTAAAATACTATTTCTACTTGCGAGTGAAATAGTTACGGTTTATATATGAAACATAATTCTTGACACGATTTTTATACGCTAATCATTGAGATATTTTATTGTTAATAGTAATGTTCATTATACATACTAGTTTGTGTGCTTAATTTTGCTTGACTATAGTTCTGTCATTCGAGTATCTATTGCATTATTTCTGCTATGTATGATGTCAGCTTTATTTTTAACACGGATATTTTAAAAATACGTATTTATAAAACAAGGTAAATTAGTTGTTTCGCACAATTTGAGAACACCCATTTCGTTTTTAAATCAAATTTGAATTAAATTACTTGCCAACAATATTTTATACTATTCGTAGAATAACTTGTTACATATATTAAAACTATGCAGCAGTGACATAGGTATTATGTATGCTTGAAATAAATGATTAAACGACACCAAGACTTTGATTTTGTGTCATAGATGTTGACGTTGATATTTATTAAATAATTGAAATCAATGTTTGAAGAGAAATATGTCGATGTGTCGACCTTGACAGTTTACGATATTTACTTTAATATTTTTTGTTTTAGACAATAACTAGCGAGCCGCCCCGACTTCGCACGGGTGCATCACTCTAATCTCAATCACTCTAACTATTAAAAAAACCCGCATCACGATCCGTTACGTAGTTTTAAAGATCTAAGCATACAAAGGGACAGACACAGTGGAACTACTTTGTTTTTTACTATGTAGTGATAACATATATTAAAAAACACGAGTTTATTTTATTACTCTGTAGCAAAATATAAGGCTCATGAGTGTATATAATTTAGAAAAGTATTATTGTATTGCCAGAATTAAATAATTTTGAAGAAGTCATGACGCAACACTGCAACCAGTTTTAATTTCGCAACAATTGATTAGTGTTAAAGTAACGATTGGCGTCTGTCTGTAGTGCATGTAGGACTCTTGAAAACCATGCTCCAAAAAAAACGTTTTTTTTTTCACGGTTTCTGTTTTTTTTCGAAATAAAAAAGGTTTTTTACCTCTGCTCCAATCATTTATCATTTAGTTTCAAACATCCTTTATATAAAAATCTATGACATACAAGACCTAAAAAAATAAAGTTACGATCAATGATGTTTTAATAAAGATGGAGTATGTACATTTTGCGGTGGTAGGGCTACGCAACAGCCCCCGCTGTTGCACGATAGGGCAGGCTCGTCCGGGTAAGTACCATGACCTCACAGAAGACCGGAAAAGTGGAAGTATAATACTATCGCGTTTCGTCTGATGAGTGAGGTGGCCGGAGCCCGATTTTCAAAAGGTTGTCAACGCATCTGTAACCCTCGGGTGTAGCAGATGTCCATGGGCGGCGGTATTCACTTAACATCAGGTGAACCGTCTGATCGGTTGGCAACTTTTCGCATAAAAAAAATGTACAGACTGCGCGGCGTTTAAAAATTATTCCGCTTCACATTATATGAAATAATTATAAAATTGAATGTGATAGATGATATAGAACCTATGATACGGAAAGAGATAGCAGTCTAAAGAAATGCAATCTAATTACACCAATTGCAAGTGCGTCAGTTTCATTGTGTTTTTCCAATTCATATCTGTTATACAGTACGTATTTGTTTACGAAAGAAAAGTACGTTTATGTATGTTTCTCAGTTATCTACTACCCATGGTACAAGCGTTGCTTAGTTTGGGACTAGAGAACATTGTGTAAAAATATGTCCTGAAATATTTATGTACTCTGAAAAGAAATGGCGTATCTGATATTGATGGGAGGAATATTTTTATTTCATTAAATTTATGTGACTTATAAAAGTGGAATTAAAATACATACTTACTCATTTAAATGAGTCTTCCTAGCTTCTTCCTTTTCAGTATTTTTGCAGATTTCTCTGCACAGAATGTCATTTTTTATTTGCGGAGCCAAAAATATATGTTCATGCTACATTACGAAATACGCACTGAGGACGGTTCTCTGCAAGTACATGCATTTTCTCGCATCTGAAACCTTCACGCTTCGCACTAGAGTTAGACGAATATATAACGAAAGCCTCTATAGCGATTTAGTATTATATTGTTACAAGTGCATCAATAATTCTTTTTTTTTCTATTTTACAGTGGCCATAGATTTGATCGTGCAGCATATATCGGACTACCTAAGAAGAAGCCCTGTCGATAAATTGCCCCCCTTGGGTCTTCCATCGTCCGCACCGGGGAGTCCGCAGCGCAGTGGACAAGGCGGCAGACCACATTAAATGTTTTCACACTTTTATCGAGCTATTTATGGTTCGCAGTGCTATGAAAGAGGCTAGTGAGGTACATTAACTAATAAAAATAAATATTATCTGTGACACGTCGCGTGGCGCCAAAATATGTTTGACCGTCTGACAATGTTGCGTTCAAAAACGTATCGCGAGTGGGCGGTGTTCATTATGTTCCGGATAGAGTGATTATGCTTATATTTATTTTTTTATTGACTCTTTAGT